GAACCAGGAATTCAAGTGTTCTCCTGTAGGAGTGATCCAGGTATTTAAGTGTTCTCCTGTAGGATTGATCAAGGAATTAAAATGTTCTCCTGCAGGACGGATACAGGCATTCAAATGTTCTCCTGTAGGATTGAATCAGGAATTCAAATGTTCTTCTGCAGGATTGAACCAGGAATTCAGGTGTTCTTCTGTAGGAGTGATCCAGGTAGGATTGAACCAGGCATTCAGATATTCTCCTGTAGGATTGAGCCAGGCCTTCAAATGTTATCCTGCAGGATTGACCTAGGTATTCAAGTGTTCTCCTGTAGGAGTGATCCAGGCATTCAACTGTTCTCCTGCAGAATGGATCCAGGCATTCAGATATTCTCCTGCAGGACTGATCCAGGCATTCAGATGTTCTTCTCTTAGGACTGATGCAGGCATAAAGGCTCAGTCTTCTACTTCATGTTTTTATTTCACAGACTGTGTTTCACAGTCTGAGAAATGCTGCTCAGTCATGACAATTTTCTCATAAGAGTCATTTTTTCAATGTCAGTATCACGACAGCTTTCCCATAAAAGTCAGGACAGAACAGCAAAACACAAGGCAAGAATCATTTGCTGTCAGATGCTTTAATAAAATCTTGCTCTTAATTATTCAGTCTCACTGAGTTTAGTTTAATTAGCCTGTATTATCTCTGAAGGTTCATAAGGATCCTGCACTCAGCCTCTGATAATGATTTATTATACATTAATTTATAAGTTTTTGTATTTTCACTTTGATTACTGTGTCTTGTAAAAACAGATGAGTTTAATGGAGTTACTGTTTATTTAAATTTATTTATTTAAATTGTGGATTTAAATCTCTCTGACAGAGATTATCAGTATTACAAAGTCAAAGCAAAGGATTTCAAACCTGGAGAGAAAATCAGCAGGCAGTTTATCAGGATGAATGAGAAGATTATTATACAGCCCTGCAACAAACCCCAACAATATTTCATAACTTGGTAGATGAATCAGCTGGTTTCAGTCAATTTTTGGAATTCTGTTGATGATCTGTTGGCTCACCTGAGTTCTGAAGAGAGCAAATAGGTCCTTTTGGGTAAGATGCAAATTCCACCCTTGATTTCAGGACTGAAGTTGCATTTTCTTGCATGATTTCCACACCATCGTGCAATTAATTGATGTGACGGATTAGCAGTACGACACTGGATGATATAAAGTAAATATTTAAAATTACCCAAATGACATAAAATATCAACTCTAAAGGGTCTGAAGGAAAAGCAGGAAACTGGAAAACAGGAAGAGCCAACATGGAGTGGTTGTTCCACCCTAAAAGTGAGTGCAGTCCCTGTTCACAAACTCTGTTCCATGTGCAGTGATTACAGAGGAGGGCACAGGTGAAATCATTCTTCATGGAGTGACAGAGCAGTATTAATTCTTTTATCACCATCAATTTTTGGAGCAGCATTAAAAGAGACCTTTGCAGTCCTTCAGGAGATAATCACAGGAATCAGAATATCTGAGGCATTTTGTCAACTGCCTTATAAATATACAAGAGGAACTGAGTCGACAAATACACAGAGTTGCTGACACAGATTTTGTGGGTTCTTGCCAGCACAGAATCATTCACATTAACGTCTTTCCACTTGGAATACTGAAAGAATTCTGAAAAGCCAAGCAAAAAAATGGGCATATTTATCTTGAAAGAGAGCAACCCAGAACAAAAATGTGAAATATCAAAGAACATTTCATGGCAGCTTGATAGCAAAAAGGAAAAGTAGCAGAGAATTGTTGTGTTCTTAGATATAAATTTAAGTTTTAAGTAGGTCAGCTCATTTCCTTAATATCTAAAGGTGTTACCAGGATTTTCATAAGCATTTTGATATATAAACCTTTTTTGGATAATGAGAACAAATCATCTTAAAACAGCTTTTGCTACATTTTTTATTTAAAAAGTTGATAAAACTGGTTTAGCTTTTCTTCTTACATTTTCTCTGTGTTTTTCAATGGAAGGCAAAAGTGCAGAACTGGTGGAATCACATTTCCATGAAATCCTCGCCTCCTAACACATGCCCAGTACAATTTCTGGATATAGATCAAAATTCCAGGCCAGATAAATGCTTTGGGAAATGGAGAGGATAAATAGGATTTTCATCATCTTTAGTGAAGGGAAGGTGATAATGTTTTGTAATCAAACAAGGATGGCTTGATGGAAGGAGGAATTGAGCATCACTTAGCCATTGCTTAATTTTCTAAGCACTTACATAAATATGTAGCAAAAAAATCCCAAAAGGCACTTACTTAACAGTAGTTTAAATTACCAGACGTAAGAAGTTTTGCAAAATTGGTAATTGCAGAGATTCACCACTAGATTAATGCTTTGGAAGGAATGTTGATTTGGAACCTAAAATTAAACAATTAGCCTGATTTCATAAGTTGCTGGGAGGATGCAGAGTTCCTATATAAAATGGATATTTAGGTAATGCAATATTGGCAGCATGCCCAGGATATAAAATGATGCATGAAGCCATGTTGCAGTAAAATATTCCTGTCAAGAAACACTGCCCCCTTCCAGGATGTATTTATAACTCTAATTTAATTGATATGCAATGTCACAGAACCTAAGCAAGAGTCAATTACAATTAGCAAGGCTGTTATAAATAATTAATAATTAATAGAGTATCTCTTGGAACATGACTTTCTATGTTTACTAATGCTTCAGTTCTGAAGTGATATCATTTACCAGGTTGAACCTAAATATGGGCTTACAAGGATAGAGTTAAAACCTAAAGATGCTTTTATTTTGTATTACCAGATCTCATTCTGCAGAAAATTGACTTATCACACAGGACACCAGCTCTGTAGACCAGATGTACCTGGGAAATTTTTCATTTTGCATTTCTGACCATAAAACACAAAAAATATTGGAAAATCTTCAGGATTTTACAAAAATTTATAGAAAACTGTGCCTATCCTGCTGCCCAGTTCCATTTTGCTCTGTGGCAACCGGCTTCCATCTAAAAAGAGAATATTGAAGTTCTCATTCCAGATCCAGTCTGGAAATCCCCACGGTGTTCAACTCTGTGGTTTTATTGCCTCAGACTTGCACAACTTTCTGAAGCTCTGAAATTCAATTTGCTGGTTACCACATTAAATTCTCCAATTGGATAATGATCTCTCATCTGGTTTTACTTGGTGATAAATGTTCTGGGCCTATTATCTACAGAATAATTGGATATTTTCCTTTGTAGTATCATATATTAAAAAAAACTGGAGACTAGATTGTAATTTTTTTTTTTTTTGTGAATTAGAATTCAATGTGCTGAAAATACTTAATTTTTAATGAGTTTTAAGATCAATTCTTTCATTTCAATGTTCCCTTCACAGTCAAACAGAAATAATGGTATTCACTGAGAGTGCCAGACCAGGAGTCACTTTTTATTTTAAAGATCATTTGAAGCACGATGGTGTTTTAGGGTTAGTCACTGTCACACAGCACTTGCTGAACTTGCTTTTTATTCCCTTCTTGCTGATCCCAGGAAGTTGGTGCCTCATCCCTGTGGCACAGGGTGATGGAAATGCTCTTTAACTGTTCCTGGAGCTGCAGAGGCAGCTTGACAAACGATATAAAGTTTAATGGTACATGCTGGGAATTAAAACCTGTGCAAAACCAATGTAGGTCTGGGTGTTGTGTAATGGGTGCACGCTGGGATGTGCCAGATGTTCCAGATGCCATTTTGGGATGACAGGCAGTCTGAGTGCTGCTCTGATAAGTAGAATAATTAAGATAGTCTGGGAGAATCACACATATTCAGCTGCACTGACTGAAGGAGGAGCCTTTTATTGCCAATTTTGCAGGAAATGTGCTCGTGTTTTATTTGTTCCTTCCTGCTCTTGCAGAAAGAAACAAAACTGAGCATTACTTTCTTTGGGGTTTTATTTCCTTTCTGAATAGCTGAATAAATTCTATCTTTGCTTTTTATTTAAGTGTCTGTAATATGGAAAACCTGCTTTTCCTACCTGCAGTTATGCTGGGAAATCACTCTGAGGATGATTGTGTGGGTTCTGGCTGCTCAGAGAAGCCAATATGAGTATTTCTGACTTCTCTAGCTTCCAAATGAGTCTGCCCAGTTGTACTGATTGTAAAACAATATTATTCTTCATTGGGACTGTGCATATGAAGGCTTGAGTTGACAAGTGTCTCCCTCATACTTGAAGAGTATCCTTGAATAGCAATGTCCAGTGATTTATTTCTTTAGAGTTCTGGTCAGACCTGACTCTCTAAACTCTTCATTAATCTATAACAACTCAAAGGGGGAAAAGGTATTTTAAAA